AGCCAGGGAAACTGCAACGGGTCTAGTGAGTGGTGTGAGTGTGGTACTGTCGCGAAAGAAGCAGCAAGTAGCACCTGAGTCAAGTGTGAAGGTGTGCAAGGCCTCAGCAGGCGCAGTATCAGAGAGAGCAGACTCACTAGCACCTAGAGCAGCAGTCGGTATACTAGGGTCAGGGGGCACACACAGGTAACAGTCACCCTCAGGGCTACCGGTCAGAGCATACGTAGCAGTAAGGATAGTGTCATAGTCTAGAGCAAAGATATCCACCTTGTTGCGCAGCAGCTCTAGCCAGGGGGGGAGCTCAGCCTCGTCGCCAAACACAGCACGCCAAGCGTCACTCAGATAGGCGAAGCAGCGAGCCTGTGTGTGACTAACTGTCCCGCAAGTCTGACCAGCCCGATCACCTGTGCGAATGACGTACGGGCAGCGGGCAGTACTCCTACACCCCCCTTTCTGAGCGTACCACTCACGAAGCTGCTGGCGCGTAAGGGTCTCGCTCGGACGCCGCTGTAGCTGCATCTGGCCACCGCCAGAAACTCCGCACTGAACCGCTCCGCCTCGACTGCCACTACGGCCGCCGCTGCAACACCTACTATCATTCACGAAGCTGCTGGGGCGGAAGAGTCTCACGCGGACGCCGTTGCAGCTGCATCTGGGAACCTCCAGAAACTCCCCACTGAACAGCTCCACAGCGACTGCTACTACGGCCGTCACCACTCCAACTACTGCTACGAAGTGAAGTCATAGCGGGCAAGCAAGGAGGCGCGTGACTAGGAGGGCAGCACGGAGGGAAGGCAGCAGCACGAGCAGCAGCGGCAACAGTAAGAGCAGCAGAGCGGTTCGGTGAGGCTAGGCTGTAGCACCTCCAGCACTCCTAGCAGCACCTCCACCAGCAGCAGCAGTAGCACGAGCAGCAGGGCGGATCGGGTAGGGCAGGGCGGCTCGGGCTGGCCGGCGCGGCTCGGGCTGGGCAGTGCGGCTCGACCTTGGTGGCGCGGGCAGCAGGGTGCGCGCCGTGCAGGGCAGCAGCGCGCGACGCGCGGGCTGCCGTAGGGCGCGACGCGCGGGGCAGCAGGGCGCGACGCGCGGGCTGCAGCAGAGCGCGACGCGCGGGGCAGCAGAGCGCGACGCGCGGGCTGCCGTAGGGCGCGACGCGCGGGGCAGCAGGGCGCGACGCGCGGGCTGCAGCAGAGCGCGACGCGCGGGGCAGCAGAGCGCGACATGCGGGCTGCCGTAGGGCGCGACGCGCAGGGCAGCAGGGCGCGACGCGCGGGCTGCAGCAGGGCGCGACGCGCAGGGCAGCAGGGCGCGGGCTGCAGCAGAACGCAAGGCAGGGCAGGGCGTGCGCGGGGCAGCGCGACGCAGGGCAGGGCAGGGCGTGCGCGGGGCAGCGCGACGCAAGGCAGGGCAGGGCAGGGCGCTCGCTGACGGCGCAACGCAGGGCAGGGCGTGGGGTAACGCGGTAACCGGTGTCGGTCACTAGGTAATGGTGGGCCCGAAAAAAACGGTCCTACGGACCTACTACACTGATACCTTGTCAGAAACTAACGAGGAATGAATGAACTATGAAAGGGTTGGGTACAAATAGAAACCCTAAAGGGGTTGTACCCCATATTGGCTACCCCACTACAGCCTACACAATATATAAACGTTATAACAGTTTGACACAATCGGGGATCTCCAGTGGACCTCTGACATAACTTGACTCGCCCAGGGCTGTCGTTTGGTCTGGACCCAACCCTTACGAAGCTGAGCTGGCTCGAAACAAGCCCCAAAATATCCGGACAGCAGCCGAATCTAGCCCTTAAATTCAGGCAATTGGGATCCCTGCCCTTAGCCACATGCGTTAGAAAGCTACCGGTAAGTAGTTCTAGGTACCTACTCTACCGAGCAGAGCACGCTGGTGGGGGAGAGCAGAGGGTTGGGAGGAAGAGAAGTGGGACACCTACACGGTCGAAGATCAGGAGGAAGGGGGGGGGGGGGGGGGGGGGGGGGGGAGCAGGTACACGGGAAATTCGGGGAAGGCTCCAAACCAGTCTCGCCACTGTAGATTCGCCCTCACTCAGCAAATCCGCCCTATCACAGCAATTTCGCCCCAACACAGCAGATATTCGCCCCGTCAGAGAACGATAGTCTCATTCAGTCACAGGAAATTAGCTCTGACACACCAGATTCACCTTGTCAGAGCATGTTGTACTGGAAATTTCTGCAGTGTAAGGCATTTCGGTTTCAGATGAAACATGAAATATGTTTCTAATGAATCAGATAAAAGAAGAAAATATTTTTAATCAATTACATAAAATATTAATCAATTTCTTGAAAATCAGATTACCCGTAAACCCCTGGATATAAGACCCGGGGGTATTATGCTATGCACACAAAAAAAATGGCAGGGTCTAAATAAATGGCATATATTTTATAAGACCCGGGTCTTTACAAAATGTTTTTTTTGAAGACATTGTTTTTAACTTAGAGAAGTGAATGGGAAGTGCTCCGTTTTTAGCGCCTCGAAAAAAAATGCGAAATCGTCTCGACGAGGATCAAGCGTGCGATATCACGAAATCTAGCTGGAAGTCTTGAATTTCAATACTCTTGACCCTCCCTCAGTGCACTGCCAGCATGTCCAGTCAGAATGAGCTGTCACGCGCGGCAATTGGCTCATTCTTTACTGTTTGTGTTGGCAGGGAATCATTCCATGCCAACTTACAGGGGTATAGTTTTGACTCGATTCAAATTGAAAAAACGAGATGGATTGATTGGTGAAGAAAAAACAGATTTCATATACGGATGTTATTATATATGCGCCGCCACTTATCAAAATCCTCGATTTTAAGCGCACCCCCTAAAAAAACGTGTACGGTATATCCGGGGGCTGATGGTAGGTCTCCAGTGGGAGAGGGGGGGGTCTTAGGGCGTGTTCCTACGCTCTTATCAGGCAAACCTCTTGTCAGCCTTGCCTGGTAAACGTAGCAAGGGTTTTTGGGTTTAGGGAATTTTCAGTGTGTTTTGTTTTGACTCGAGCTTGATAAGAGGTTGGCCTGATAAGGGGCCGTAGGAACACGCCCTTATAATGTCAGATGCCATTTAGGGGGGTATAACTTGGATAGACTATAATAGCATACCCCCCCCCCCCCCCCCCCCCCCCCCCCCGTCCCCCCGTATAATAGACCCGGGGGTCTACAACTGGGGGGGGTCTTATATCCGGGGGTTTACGGTACAAAGTAAAAAAAATCCGCCTGCAAACTCAGACAAACAGACAAAAATGTCTAATATCAAGGTCCCTACGGTACAGAAAACCTTTTCGTGATTCATTAGTAAACATAGCCACATATAGTAAGCACACACACACAAGCCGCTTGAACAAGCAACCCCAGAGTTTGCAGTGTTGTCCCGACGCACTAGGTGCATGGGGAAATTAGTGGGTTAGTGTCACAAACAATCAGGAAATATGACCTTCGAGCATGCCACCACCCAAATCAAGACAGGCAAATGAGCAATTTCTCCCACCCCCACACCTCCTGTTGCTGGCCTCTCTTGCCTTGACCATCAATCAATCGCACCTGTTTAACCCTTTCTTGTCAATGCCGGCTCAGCCATCCTGTGCATCTTGCCTCACCGTGAGTCTTGACTAGCTTAGTCAGTCTGCATGTGCATGGCCTGCAGTAGCCATACCATCAATCACACACCTCCTCTTGTGAGTGCTGCTCCGCCACCGCTGTGTGCACACCATATTATGCCATGCCACGCCACTCCACACCACACCATGCCACACCATGCCGTCATCAGATCATCGGATGCGGGGCAGCAGCAGGAAGCCATCGAAGCCAGGGTGCCGGCCTGCTGTGCTGCGCACCGACCGCCTTCCTCCACCCGCCCCTCCCTCCACCACCACGCCTCCCCTGCTCCCACCTTCTGCACCACCTACTGCACCACCTTCTGCACCCTCTCGCCCCACACTCGCACTCTCACTCGCCCTGCCATGCTGCCACGCACTGCCAACTGTCACACCCTCTGAAGCCGCCGGAGTTGCGCTTTCATGCGGCAGAGGGCTCGCCTTCCCCTCTCCTGTGCGTGTGCCTGGCACAGGACACTCAATCACCCCGACCCTCTCTTGACTGCCTTTACATTGATTATCCTCTGTGCCTTTCCTTCTCTCCTTATCCTCCTTCCCTTTTGGGCAGCCAGCCTTGCCAGCTGAGCTGGCAACCTTGGTTGCCACGCTGGCAGACACACCTGAAGAGGGAACAGCGATGCCAACAGAGCAGGCAGCAGTGCCAGAAGCAGCAGCAGCAGCAGCAGCAGCAGTGGGGCCAAAAGCGCAAGCAGCAGGTGCATTGGGAGGAGCAGGAGGGTGTGTAGCAGCGGCAGCAGCAGGTGGCTCGGCCCCAACGGGGGCAGCTGGCTTGGGTCGGTCGCTGCGCCGCTTCTTGAGCACGAGGAAGGAGAGAGACGGCTGCTTGAGGGAAAACGTCGAGAGTTTGGAGACGCGGGGTGTAGTGCTACCAGCGGTGGCAGCCGTGTTGGCCAGGCTGGATACCTGCGATGTGTCTCCACGGCTCGTCGGTGCATCATCTTGAGGTGCGCCTGCTGTTGCTCCTATACTTGCTGTTGCTCTTGGTATGGCTCCTGCTGCGGTTCTTCTAGTGGTTCCTGCTGTGGACACTGCTGCTGCTGCTGCTGCTGCTGCTGCTGCGGCTACCTCAACGGATGCTGGCACAACAGCATGTGGTGATGCTGCCTCGCTGCGCTGCAGACCGCCAGAGCTCCCCCCACTGCCAGCACAGCCATCCCCATCGCCGTCGCTGCTGTCCCCCGCTCTCACCTCACCACCCTCCCCACCACTCCCCTCCCCTCCCTCTCTCCTCCTCTTCCTCACGGACCTGCTCCTCTTCCCACTCACTCTCACGCCTGCCTCTCCCTCACTCACTGGGGCGGTTGGGCAGGTAGGTAGCGATGCCAGGGGTGCAAGCAGAGGAGCAGCAGCGGAGGTGGTACGGGTGTCAGGGACGGGAGGAGAGAGAGGTTGAGAGCGCATGCGGGGTGCATCGGTGGGTTGGGGATGGAAGGAGCAGGCAGGCAGTGGCGGTGCGGCGATGCAGGCGGCGGGGGTGGGCTGGCATGGTACAGCGGAGCCAGGGGGGAAGGCTGTAGGACACACGGCCATGGCGTTGCACGGCACGCCTGCCTGCACGGCGCGAGGGCTTCTCTTGCCCTTGGTGGCTGCTGCAGCCGTGGCAGCACAGGCACCACTGGCACTGCCTGCAGCGCGGGCAGTAGCGGCAGTAGTGGCAGTAGTGGCGGTACCGCTGGCTGCTACACCATTTGTGGCGCTGCATGTGCCACTGGGAGCGACACTCACGCTCGCTCCACCTGCATCTGCTGCACGTCCCACAGCCACCGCTACTGATCTTGCTTTGCGCACTGCCTTTCCTTCCCCTGCTGCAGCCAGCTTCCGCTTGCTACTGCGACAGCCCTTGAGCCCCGAGCCCTTGCGCCCCGAGGCAGCAGCTGTGGTGACGGTCGCCCCACCTCCCGGGGCAGCTGCGCTGCCTGGCGAGGCGACAGCTTTCGCTACAGCCTGAGCAGGAGAGATTGCGGTGAGCAGTGAAGCAGTGGGAGGTGCAGGCGCAGGTGTGGCAGCAGGAGACGAGTGAGTGGTGGGAGGGGCAGTAGCAGCTGCATCAGCCTTGAGGCGCGATGCCAGTCGGGCCACGGCACGGCGCAGACTCTGATGGTGGCGCGGGGTGGGGGGGAGAGGAGGGGCATGGAAGGGATGAGGAAAGAGTGGGAAGGGACGAGGAAAGAAACGGAGAACAGGATATTCACAAATGTGATGGTGTTAGTAATGGATCACCATCTTGGTCCGCAGCAGTGGGTCACATCACAATGACAGCAGCGTCACTGCTCACCTTGATCTCTGGGCGCAGGTCCACAGGCACGGCAGCCGCCTGGCTAATGAGCGCCCGCAGATGTGACAGGCGCTGGGCGGATCGGCACTCTGATGCCTGTGACTGAGATGAGTGTGCCTTGGCAAAACGAGACAGCCACTCAGAAGCCGCCACGTGTCGCCGTGTGGCTTCCCCAAGGATGGCATCCGCTGCGCCCACTGTGTGCGATCCCTGGAGGAGAGGGAGAGGGAGGGATGAAGGAGGACTGAGAGATGGAACAAGGTGGGGCTGAAAAAGGCTGGCGGTGTGGGACACAGTAGAGCATGGAAGAGAGAAGAGAGCAACGGGGAGATGAGAGGAGTGGGGTGGCAGACACAGGAAGCCTTCCTGATTCACCACAACGCCAAGTCCTTATCTAAGCGTTACTCTCACCGTCTGCACCAGCTGTGCCAGGGTGGAAGGTCGGGGTCGTGAGCGGCCAATGAGAGTGCTACACGTGGCAGCCCTCCAGCAGTGGGCGGCCACTGCCCTCTGCACCGAAGCCAGCGTGCCGCCCGCCTCAACAGAGCAGCCTGTCCCTGCATCCGACACCACCGCTGCCACTGGCCCTGCGGGCACTGCCGCCCCTCCTCCACCATCCTTGCAGCTCTGCCCTGCCAACTGCCGCACCTCCTCTTGCCCTCCAGCCACCACTCCCACACTCATTGCCGCGGCAGCGGCAGCGGTACCAGTGACCTCCTTTACAAGGCCCCCTTGCACCTGCACCTGCTGCTGCTGCATGTGTGTGGATGGTGAGAGAACTGCATTCACGTGCAGCAGCCACGAGGCAAGAGGCTCCGCTGCTTGCTTTGCTGCCTGCGTTGCTGCCTGTTGTGCAATTGGAAGTGGTGGCGCTGGTGTGGCGGCAGGGGCAGGCAAGGTGGAGGAGAGCGATGTCGGAGAGGCAAGGGGCATGTGGAGCGGAAGACAAGAGGCCACCTGCAAAGGGGGGAGAGCACGAGGGAAGAGCGTGTGCAGCAGGGGCGGGATGAGCGGGCATGGCGAGGGCAGTGAGTGAGAGGGGCAAAGAAGGCCTCATAGCTGCGATGATCACAACACTCTGGTGAGCGCCAGGAGATCAAAGCCTGGTTGAAGCACACAAATGAAATCCTATCTGAGACGAGGGGTTGATAACCACCTGAGACAATGCTGAGAATTCACCTGAAGCAGACAGCTGAGTATGGAGGGAGGCACGGGTTCAGCATGACGTGGCAAGGACAGGGTGGTGGAGAGAGCTGATGTCAGCAAGTGACAGCAGCGCGTTGCTGATTGGACGAGCTGCTCCAAGCTGTGCACGGCTGCGATCCTGGTGGGGGCGAGCAGAGAGAGTGAACAGCGGGGGAGACTGGCTGAAATGCGCACCCTGCTGTGAGTGGAGAGACAACGGGGTTCAGCTTGGCCGAGAGTGTGTGTGCATGGCAGCTTGAGGTGCAATGTGCGTGTGTGGTGGTGGAGGCACGTGCATGCGCCGTGGTAGGTGTGGGGATGCACTCTTGTTGTGGGCAAGAGTGTACAAGCAGGTGTGGGCATGTGAGAGCGCGGTACCTGGGGTACAGAGAGAGAGCGCGTGAGAGGAGGTCCTCCAAGTCTCGCAGCGACACGCGCGGCAGGTGGCCATGCTGCACGGCAGGTAAGGGGCAAGCAAGGGGGGTGGGGGAAGGGAGCAGACAGGGAGTGGCACAGCAGAGATATGAGTGAGTGAAGTGGAAGAGGAGAGGTGTGCAAGAAAGCGCGCTGCTGTGGTGGCAGTCAGCAGGAGCAGTGGGGCGGCGGGACGTACGTGGAACAACGCCGAGACACCAGGTGTGACGGCTGCTGCGGCAAGGGAGGCGCAGAAGGGGCATCTGAAAGGGTCTTGCGGTTGCCGCTGCTGCGGCGGCGGCGACAACAGCTGCTGTTGCTCGGGGTTCCTGTCGTGCTGTTGCCGCTGCTGCGGCTGTGGGTGGGTGGGTGTGTGTGCACCTGGTGGAGCTGCCCCCACGCCCACCCCGCCACTCTGCTCTGCAATTGCCTGCTGCTGCCCTGCCGCCTCTCGCTTCTGCTCTTGCGGCTTCTCCTGCTGCTGCTGGTCTTGAGAGGCGGAGGAGGTGGCAGCATGCAAGTATGCGAGGCAGTCGGCGTGGAATCTGTGAGGGTACAGGGCGAGGCAGGCAGGGGGAGGGGATTGAGAGGGAAGACACACAGAATAGAGGGGAATGGGTAGTGCAGCAGGCTCGTAATGAAGTTAAGGATATATGCAGTAAATGCGTATGTGGAGGCAACAGCAGAGAAAGGAAGGGGGGAGTGTGCCTATATAATAAGATGCACATACCTCACGCTGCACCCGTCGCATGTGAGTGCATCCTCCATGCGTTCGCCCTTCATCCCATATCCTTTCTCTAGCCTCTGGTGCTCCTCCTTTTCTTCACCCTCTTCCAAACGCACTGCTCCCATATCCCCTTCCCTCTTGCTTCTTGCTTCTCCTCCCTTCTCTTCCCTCTTCTCCCCTGACAACCCCACAGCACCACTACCACCACCCTCCCGCCCCACAGCACCGCTCACAGCAGCAGCAGCTCTCCTCCCACCACTGCGCTTTCCCCGAACTCGCACCTCCCCGCCGCCTCCTCCCCCCGCCTGCCCGCACCCCACTACCTGCCCATGGCTGCCGTTAGAGCAAGCAGCAGAGGCAGGCTGTGCAGCGTGCAGCAGACCGCACCAGCACAGGGTGTGGGACGAGGAGATGCTTTCAACACCCGCCGCACCAACAGCAGCAGACGAAGCAAGTGCAGATGCCTCTGATGCTTCTGCCGCCCCGCGCACTGCTGTTGCTACTGCCGGTGCCACACCTGGTGTCGCCGCACCAGCTGCTGCCGTGGCTGCGCCTGATGTGGACGCAGCCTCGGCAGTGCCCGCCGCCAGCAGTGCAGGAGGGGGAGCAGCGGCTGATGCCGGCAGTTGAGAAGGCTGTGCCGGCAGTTGAGAAGGCTGTGCCGGCAGCGCCGTGAGGTGAGACAGGGCAGCGGTGCGCTGGGCCAGGGAGGAGATGCGATGCAGCGCTGCCTGCACGCTGCTGTGCATCTCGTTCAGCTTCTGCACAATTTCCTCTTCACACACCCGCTCCTTGGCCCGCCGCTGTTCCCTCTCGCCCTCCCTTTGTGCCCCTTCTCCTCCCTCAGTCGCCCACTCGTCCTCCCCAGTGCGCCCCTGCAGAGCAGCACAGCAGGCAGCGAGCCAGTCGTCCAGCGCTGCCACTGCCCGCTGCACCTGCTGGGCCTCCGCGCTCGCCACCACACTGCTGCTGCCCCACGCCTGGCATGAGAGCATGGGGGGTGACGGGGCGGACGAGGAAGGGTCGAATGGTTGGGGTAGTAGTGTTGATGAAGGGAGATTGAAGCTGATTCATGTGAGGGTGAAAGTAAGGGGTTTAGATGGACGAGGGAGAGACAGGTAGGGTAATGTAAGGATGGATGAAAGAAGCACGAGGTGGCTGCGCCATGGCAACTGATGCATTTGTGGAGGTGGCAGGAAGAAGTGCCTGCTGTGCATGCAGCATACCTGGAGGCTCTTGACGTGCGCAAGTGTGGTGACACGTGCAGGTGGCAGCGGTGGTGGTGAGGCGGGGGCAGAGACGCATGGGGCGAGCAGCCGCTGCACCTCCTTGACCCACTCCCTGGTAGGGGCACATGTGTGACAGTGAAGGTAGGCGGGCACAACGGGTTGCACGCATGAGGAGTGGCAGGCACAACCGCGAGCGATCAGTGGGCAGCAGTGCACGACTGTGGGCACAGGAAGAAACAGTAGTGGCCACCCGGTGAACCCTACAAGTGCAGCATGGCCAGAGAAGAGAGTGGAAGTGGGCGCGCGCAGGCACTGACCTGTGGGAGGCGATGACAGCCGTGAGCTGGTGGCACTTGTCGAGCACATACACCTGCAGGGCCTGCATGGCATGGCATGGCACGGCATGGCACGGCATGGCACGGCACGGCATGGCACGGCATGGCATGGCATGGCACGGCACGGCATGGCATGGCATGGCATGGCATGGCATGGCACGGCACGGCATGGCATGGCATGGCACGGCATGGCATGGCATGGCACGGCACGGCACGGCACGGCATGGCATGGCATGGCATGGCATGGCATGGCATGGCATGGCATGGCACGGCATGGCATGGCATGGCATCCACAAAGAAGGGGCAAGGGGAACACATGCAGAGGATCCTCACAGTCAGAACAGCAGGTGTTCACAATGACACAAGCAAAGGGGCGCATAACCATATAAACCAGATGGCAACAGATAGGTGGGATGAAATCAAGTGTACATGCACAAAACGCAAACTCCCATAATCCCGTTCACCCTGGCGCCACTTCACCATTCCCACGCTTCACGTCTCCCCTCGCCTCACTCCCTTCCCTCCATCTCTCACCATGCCACGTGCCACCATCGCCTCCACCTCCTGCACCTCACAGCTGGCAGGGCCACGTGTCAGCATCTCATTGGCCGCCTGCACCCACTGCCGTGCGTCCACAAGAGCGGAGCGCAGCAGGGAGAGACGCGCCGAGGGGGGCGGAGAGGGAGCGGACGCGGCAGGCGGAGGAGGGCCCTCGGATGGGGATGGTGCGGCTGAGGATGGTGAGGGGGATGGTGCTGAGGCTAGAGATGGGCATGGTGGTGGGTGTGGTGGTGAGGGGTGCACGGACGGATCACTGCATGGCAGCATGGAAGCATGGCACTGTGGGTAAGCCGCCACTAGCGCTTCCATCTCCTCCATGCTCGCCTTGCCTCGCCTTCTCACATCCATGCCGGCATTTTCCCCCTGCACCGCACCACTCACCACCGCATCATGTGCGGTGCCTGACAGCATGGCATGGGCTGCCACCTCCCAGCGGAGGCGCTGCAGCAGCGCGCGCACAGCCGGCAGCTGCGGCACTGCCACGCCCAGCGCCACCCCTTGGGTGAGCAGCGCGGACAGCTCAGCCGCACTGGCGCCCGCTGCTGCTGCCGGCACTAACAACTCCGGTGGGGGCGTGGCTGCAGGTGCAGCAGACACGGTGATGATGCGCACTGCAGCTGGGCTGGCTTGGGTGCGCGGTGCTGCAGCTGCTGTGGTCGGTGTGACTGTGGTGGGAGGTGAGAGCAAGGAGGTGGCGGTGTGGAGGGCGTGGGAGGCGGCGGATTGCCAGGAGGCGAGCGAGCAGAGCAGCGCGGCGAGGTGTGGTGCTTGCGGTACTCGCACGGGCAGCGCTGTGAGGGCGGCGTGCAGCGCCTGGTGTGATGGGGGAGGGGAGGGAGGGAGGGAAGAGGGATGGGGAAGGTAGAGGTGGGGAGGAGGGGGGTTAAGAGAAAGATGTAGCCAGGTGGAGAGAGGTGGAGACGGAGAGAAGAGGGAAGATGGGAGCGGTGTGGGTGGATGTGACCTAGAGTGAGTACATGTTGCCCATGTAAAGCAACCACACGTACGAGCGTGGAGCAGTGTGTGCAAAGCAAGCAAGAAAGTGATGTGCGGAGTGGGAGGATGCACACACCACACCACCACGGGTTGCCCCACCACCCACCCTCCCTCACACGATGCCCCACCACATAGCCCCACCACATAGCCCCACCACATAGCCCCACCACATAGCCCCACCACATAGCCCCACCACATAGCCCCACCACATAGCCCCACCACATAGCCCCACCACATAGCCCCACGTACCTCAATGTCTCTCACTGTCACTGTCACTGTCACTCGGGCATCCGTGCCCTCCTGCACGCCCCCTCCCTCACACTCCCCTCGCCCTCTCCTCCTCCGCTTCCACCTCCCTCCACTGCCTCTCTCCTTCCCCCCACTCGGAGCACCAACAGCCGCACCAGCAGCTGCAGCAGCAGCAGAGCGGCGCACAGCCAGCAGCAGCTGGTCGGCGCGAGCTGCTGCTGCCCTTGCTGACGCCAGCGCTGACATCAGCTGAGCATGGCCTGCCAGCGACGCTGAGATATACTCCGCCTCCCTGTGAGGGCGAGACGAGGGGGCACAGGAAAGGGGGGAAGTGGTGGGGGGGAGGAGGGGGGAAGGGCGGGGGGGGAGGGACAAAAGGGAGAAACGGAGGAGCAAGGGGTGAAACAGCAGGAAAAGGAACACATGTGGTGGGGAGAGAGAGATAGGTGGACGAGACAGCTATACCCCTGGACGAGATAGGTGGACGAGACAGGGTATATAGCTGTCTCGCAGAGAAGTAATGAGGAATATGGAAGGATGGATATGAGGCGCCTTGACACATCGGCAGATGCGTAATAACTGGTGGATTTCGACAGAAGGTTCGCAAACTAAACTGCACTGCACTGCAATCACGACAGCCCATCATCTCCCCCACACGCATCACTATCACCCTCGCTTCGCCTTCCTACCCCTCACCTGCTCATCGCCTCGCCCTCCTCCAGGCTACACCCCTCCTGCAGCGCTCTCTGCGCCCTGGCCTGCCAGTGACTGCCTGCCGCCACCACTGCTTGCACGCGCGCCACCACTGCACTGCCCTTGGGCAGTCTGCGGGTGTCATGTGATGTGCGTGCAGGGGGCGGGACGGGTGCAGGGGTGTAACAGGTGGGTGGGACAGGTGGGACGGATGAAGCAGTTGAAGAGGAGAGGAGGAGAGGTAGGGGGAGAGTAAGAAGCATGCACTTCCATGACAGGCCTAGCCCGTTACCAGGCACACCAGGGAGGGCCGAAAGCGGCACTCCCACGTGGTAGAACAGCAATCCCACGCCCCACGTGGCACGGGTGTGGTGTTCTGCCTCCCACGCCTCCCTTCACTCACCTCTCCCTCTCTCACCTCTCCTTCACTCACCTCTCCCTCTCAAACCTCTCCCTTTCTCACCTCTTCCTCCCTCACTCTCCTGCTCTCGCCTAACCTCCTACCTCTCACGCTCCTCCCGCCCCCACTTGCTCACCTCTCCCCCTCTGCCTGCAGCGCCAGCAGCTCGTCCACGGAGGCGCGGAGCATGAGCGCCCCCTCTGCCGCCTCCTCCCACTGCACGCGCTGCAGCTGCTGCTGCACCTCCTCCATCTCGCCCACTGCCACCACGCACAAGGTAGGACAGGGGTGGACAAGAGGGGGAGGGTGTGGGGCGGAGGGGAGGAGCACATGGAGAGAAAACGGACCTCGCAGAAGCAGCAGCAGGAGCAAGAGCCGCAGCGGACGCTGGAAGCCAAAATCAACGATGAGGATGCTGCTGATGATGGAGATGATTCTCACAACCACTCGCCACCGCATTTAACCGCACCTTCTTAAGTCCCACAGACCGACACACCTTCCCCCCCTACTCACGAGTGACGTGCATGCGCGTGCCAGCCTCCACCAGCGCTGCCAGCTCGTCCCTCCACCCCCTCTGCCTGCCCGCGGTGGGCGTGACAGTGGCAGCTGGAACAGCGGCAGGAGGAGGCGACGAGTCAAGCAGAGTGTCTTTGGTGGAAGGCGTGCAAGGAGCAGCAAGCGGAGCAGTGGTAGCAGTAGCACCTGCAGTGGCTGCGGCGGTGAGAGCAGTGGGGGCAGTGGCAGGAGTGGGGATGGGTGCAGGGTGATCCGGAGCAGGAGAGCAGGCAGCAGCGGTGGGAGGAGGGGTTTCTGGAGAGGCAGCAGCAGCAGCAGCAGCAGCAGTGGTGCGGGCAACAGGCAGGGGGGTGGCAGGAGCGGGAGTAGTGGGAGCAGCAGCAGGAGGAGGAGACGGGCTCAATGGGGAGGCGCTGTCAGGCCCGCTGCTTGCTGCACTCGCTGCTCCTGCTTGTTTCTGCACCTCCTCTTGCCCCTGCTTGTGTGCCTGCTTGCCCTTCCCCCCATCCTGTCTCCTCATCGCCGCCAGCAGCGCGCGTGCCCTCTCCCCCCAGCGCCGTGCCTCGTCCCGCCGGGCCTGCAGCTGCGCCACCGCTGGCAGGCGCACCGCCACGCCCGTCGCCTCATGCAGGAGCGCCTCCATGTCCTGAGGGGAGGTGAAGGGGAGGGGAGACGGTGGGGCAAAGGGGGGTGCGCAGAATGAGAATGGAGAAAGAGACACAGGGCGGGACGCAAGGGCAGAGCGGAGGACGCTTGGGCACTGAGGCGAGCAGAAGAGATGCAAGGAGAAGCAGAGCTGACTGGTGGTGCAAAAGGTACGCTAGCGGGAAAGCAGGACAAGATGCGAGAATAAGAGTGTGGCGAGGAGAGGGTGGGCATGGCACGGTGGGAGCGGAGGTAGCAGGCTGCTGCGGTGCGGGTGGCAGCACCTGAAGGGTGGGCGAGGAGGGCAGCACCTGAAGGGTGGGCGAGGAGGGCAGCACCTGAAGGGTGGGCGAGGAGGGCAGCACCTGAAGGGTGGGCGAGGAGGGCAGCACCTGAAGGGTGGGCGAGGAGGGCAGCACCTGAAGGGTGGGCGAGGAGGGCAGCACCTGAAGGGTGGGCGAGGAGGGCAGCACCTGAAGGGTGGGCGAGGAGGGCAGCACCTGAAGGGTGGGCGAGGAGGGCAGCAGAGCGTGGGCGCGTGCGTCCATGTGCCTGGCGGCCAGCAGCAATGATGCCACCACCTCGTGCTCCGCCACCGTCACCCTCAGTCGCTCGCCCTGAGAGGGGGGGAGTGAGGACACGGAGGAAGACGGGTGGAGTAGTGTTTGAATGGGAAGACGGGTGGAGTAGTGTTTGAATGGGAAGACGGGTGGAGTAGTGTTTGAATGGGAAGACGGGTGGAGTAGTGTTTGAATGGGAAGACGGGTGGAGTAGTGTTTGAATGGGAAGACGGGTGGAGTAGTGCTTGAATGGGAATAGAGGAGACAAGAGGTGGCCGAGGAGGCACGCAAAGATGCAGTGTCACACACACAGACACAGAAGAGCGGCGCGCAGGAGCGACAAACAAGGCAGCACCTGCGAGTGCAGCATGGCGAGGGAGTGCAGGTCGGGCAGAGGGATGTGTGCCGCTGCTCCAGGTGCCTTCCCCCGCGCCACCGCTCTCTGCACCGCCTCCACCCAGTGCTGGCACGATGGGCGCATGAGGGGTGTGGTGGGGAGGGAGTGGGTGAAAAGGAAGAGCGAACGGAAAGCGCGAAGGCGAGGGGAAAGACGAAGACAGCCGGCATAAGTAGCAGCACCCGTGGATAGGATAGGACTGTCATTAGCTGAAAGATGGCAGAACACAAAAAAAAAAATGTTCCGTGGACGTCGCAACACAAAAGAAAAGAACAAGTACTCAAGTAGTGTTTGGGTACCAAATGGTACTTGCCTCAGTCATTTAGTAAGCATAGTAAAAGCAAGCAGAGCAGCTGTACCACTCGTCTTCAGAAGTATACCTGGGCGGCGAGGAGGCACACCTGGGCGGCAAGGAGGCACACCTGGGCGGCGAGGAGGCACACCTGGGCGGCGAGGAGGCACACCTGGGCGGCGAGGAGGCGCACCTGGGCGGCGAGGAGGGCGTCTTTGAGCTTGGTGGCAGCAGGGATGTCCACCGTGGCCGCTGCCGCCTCTGCCTGCAGTGCGTGCAGCTCCTTCGCCTGACAGGCGGTGTGAGGGCATGGAGACAGGTGCGGCAGGTGAAAACAGGTGAGGGCTGGTTCAGTGCGGATGGTGCATGCATAGTGTACAGATGGGAGGTGCATGGGAGGTGCATGGGAGCTGCATGGGCGATAGAGGTGCATAGCAGAGGTTGATGGAAGGCTGTGCAATCAGCTGACACTATAGAAACAATGACTGCACAGCACAGCAGCACCACCACAACAGTCAGAGCTTCACGAATGGAAAACGGGAGTATTTGGTGGACGCAAGAATCGTTGCAGCAGTGGCGAGAAGCAAAATGATAACCAGCACTTGCCCCATACACTCAAAATGATAACCAGCACACCTCGACGGGCGGCTTGCCGTGCAGCGCGAGGCGAATGCGCTGGTCCAGGGCGAGGGCGTCACGGTAGAGCACCTGGGGTGGGGTGGGGATGGGGCAGCGGGACAAATGTGGCATGAGTCAGAACAGGGGGGAAACATGCAAGTAGTGACAACGCAGGGATTGTTGCGCAGCGCTCTCTTCTTCTGGAACCCTCACACCATCGCTCTTTCCACCACTTGCCCGCCAGCCCATAGAAGCCCTCGTGCGTGCACCCTTGCGATGCCACTCCTCAGCACCCATGCACACACCTTGAGCGTCTTGTAGTGCGGCTCAATGCAGGGCACGTCAGAGGCAGCGCCCTCCAGCAGCCTCTGCACCTCACACAACCCCCTCCTCCCCCTCCCGCCCCCACCACTGCTGCTACTGCCCGCCCCTCGTGCTGCCTCCCTTGGCCCGGCAGCAGCAGGTAAAGAGGAGGGCGGCAGCAACAGCAGCGGGTGATTGGAGGAGCAGCCAACGAGTGGCGGAGCGGCAGCAGCAGCGGGCAGCGAGTGACCGCAGCAGGCAGCCACCTCGTGCGCCCATGTGAGCGCTGCCAGTGCCTTGTCGTGCACTCGCCTCGCCTGAGAGGGTGGGAGGGGAACGGGGGGGGAGGAGGGGGGGGGTTGGGGTTTGAGGTGGGCGACCTGGATGAGGGAGCTGAATGAGAAGAGTTTCTGGAAGAAGAGGAGAGCGTGGAACAGCAGCGAGAGGCGAAGCAGACACAATGTGCGGGAGGGATGCAATGTGCATAAGAGCAGGCCAGTCCGAGAAGCGGCAGCGCAAAGCCACTCACCGCATCGACCTCGTGGCCCGCCCACAGGAACTCCTGCGCCTGCTGCACCAGCGCCACCGCTGCCTCTACTGTGGGCGGCGAGCGCAGCGCTACCTTGCCGCGCGACGCCCACTGCGCCGCCCACTCACTGTGCGTCATCATGCGCCCGCGCACCCGGCGCTGCTGCGCCACCCACCCTCCTCCACTGCCCGCCCGACACTTGTCCAAAAACTCCTCCGCCTGCACCAGCTGCCCCCCGTGCCCCCCACCCCTGCTCCCCACTACAGCCCTGCCCCGCATCCACTCTGCCATCTCTGCCTCTGCACTCCTGAGCCCCTCTGCTGCTCCATTCCCTGCCTGCCTCTTCTCGCCCCCTCCCACTCTCTGCATGCCAGCAGCATAGCTGATCTGCTCCTCCTTCACGCTCTCCCCACCTTCTTCTGCACCTGCTGCTGCCGCTTCTGCAGCAGCAGCAGCAGCGGCGGCAGCAGCGGCGGCTCGGCGGCTGCTTCGTCGCACACCACTGCTCTCTCCCTCGCACTGCCCTGTTTCCCCTTCTCCCTCTCCGTCTCCCTCCACTCCTTTTCCTTCCCTCTCTCTGTCATCTCCTCCCGCTTCCTTGCGCACCGCATTCTCCACGGCCCCCTTGCGTGCCGCCTCCACCACACCATCACTAACGCTCGCACCCTCCACCCCTTCTTGCTTCACAATCACACCAACGAGTCCCTCGACACCCCCTTCCACGCGTCCCTCCACCTGCCGCTCACCCATGCCCGCCTCACTGGACGAAGGCTGTGCTGATTGGTCCACGCCAGCAGATGCGCGGCTGTCACGGCATGGCATGGTGGCAGCAAGGTCAGCACGAGTGTCACTGCCACACCCTGCAGCACCACTACCAGCAACACCACCATCGCCATTCGCCTCACCACCACCACCACTGCCCTTGCCTTGCACGGAATCCTCACCCTCACCCCCAACCCCAACCCCTCCCCCTGCTCCCCCTCCAACGCCCTTCGCTTCCTTTTTCACATCCCTCCCCCCACCGTAAACCCCGGCGAGCACCTTCACGCCGATGCTGGTGAGTCCGCACATGGGAGGGCTGCCCACAGCAGCAGTGGTGGCGCGGCGAGAGTACGTGATGGGCGCACGTGGGGCGCTGCTGCTCGCAAGTTCCCCGCCCACATGCCCGCTCGCATGTTCCCCCGCTTGCCTGCTGCTGCTGCTGCTGCTGCTGCCTCCCGCTGCTGCCCTGCTGCACTCGGCCTTCACCACCACCTCCTCCACAGCCGCTTTCCCCCGCCCATCATTCACACACACCTCCCCTCCACTACCCTCCCGCTCTTCTCCACTGCTAACGCTCCCCTCCTTCCCACGCCCGCCGGCCCCTCTCTTGTCCCCCCCAGCCAGCAGGTCCTCGAGCTCCGCCAGGGAGAGGCGGTACAGCAGCGTGCGGCGGGCAGGCGGGCAGTCGCACAGCTGACACGCGTGCTGCCATGGGGGGACAGGGGGATAGGGGATAGGCGGGGAGGGGGATAGACGGAGAGGGGGATAGGGGGAGAGGGACAGGGGAAGATAGGGAACGGGGCGAGGAGGGATTGTGGCAAGTGAGAAGCTAAGCTGGATCTTACGCGTACGTTTATACATTTTACGTCTATGTTTACGTAAGTTTTACGTTATGTGTGCGGAAAAAGAATACGTTTACGTTTGCAGGCAGGTTAGAATATTTTTTGCTGCCCAACAAATAATCTTGTACCCTCTTTTCGGCTGTAGATGCATTACCAAAGGGTGGTGCGATAATGTTTCGACCACCACCCAAAAAACTTGCGGTGACGGGTTTACCAACCCGAGCACACTTTCCCCCCTCCTACCACTCACATAGTTGCAACATTGTTTATCTCAGATCCTGCCTCTTGTCCCGCGCCCTTAGTCAATGGCCCCGCTTGGCAAAATTTTTCCCTGCCCGGACATAAGTTACGCGAATTTACGCGTACGTTTACGTTTACACGCAACATTACGATTACGTGGTTCCAAAAACGTACGGACCCAACTTAGGTGAGAAGTGAAGGGCATGTGCATTGTGCACGGTGGGAAATGAAGGACGATGTTTGCATGGAAGACAGCACGGGTAACACAGCAGCGGCACTTACCTGCAGGCACACGGCAGCACTCACCTGCAGGCACACGGCAGCACTCACCTGCAGGCACACGGCAGCACTCACCTGCAGGCACACAGCAGCACTCACCTGCAGGCACACGGCAGCACTCACCTGCAGGCACACGGCAGCACTCACCTGCAGGCACACGGCATCTCGGGGGCGGCAGGGGCAGATGACAGCAGAGAGGAAGAGGTAGTAGCGGCAGATGAGGCACTCCCTGTCCTGCTGAGAGGGGCAGGGCCGCGCGCACGGTGGGGGCAGAGAGGAGGAGGGCGACAGGCAGGGGGATGGGGCAAGAGAGGAAGCAGAGAAAAACGAAGAACAGTGCTTTCCAAAGGCAAGAGCAGTGCCTCTCAGGAGCCATGAACAGTGCCTCTCAGGAGCCATGAACAGTGCCTATCAGGAGCCATGAACAGTGCCTCTCAGGAGCCATGAACAGTGCCTCTCAGGAGCCATGAACAGTACCTCCTCGTCGGTGATGGCATCGGGCCGTGCATGTGGCGCCATGCGTGCGCTCCTCACTGTGCCCTGCGCCCACACTGCATCCCTCGCCCGCCTCTCCCCCTCCACCACCCTCCGCACCTCCGCCCCCGCCACCTGCCTCTCCCCCGCTAGCAGCCCCCGCTGCTGGTTCTGGTGGCAGCGAGACGGGGGGGCGGGGATGGAAGGGGAGGGGAAAGGAATGATGGGAGCTGAGAAGGGGACGGGAGAAGAGGTGAGAAGGCGAGGAGGAGAAGTGAGGAATGGTGAGGAGAGGTGAGGAGAGGTGAGGAGAGGTGAGGAGAGGTGAGGAGAGGTGAAGAAAGGGGATGTGGGGAGCAGAGGGGAGTGAAGGAACAAGAGAACCAAATGATATGCTATAATGTGTCTCACCATGAGCAGCACGCACAGCATCTCCTCATGGGAAAGAATGGACTTGCGGCGGAACAGCCGGTAGCGCTCCACACTGAGCCCGCCCCACGGCAGCCAGTCGCACGGCGCGAAGTTCACCGCCTCCGCACAGTTCACCCCTGCGCGCACGGGGAGAGGAGGGGGGGCAGCGGACATGTGGGTTGAGGGGGGTGTGTGTTGCGCCAAGCACTCGACGTTCACCACGTCCGCACAGTTCACCACGTCCGCACAGTTCACCACGTCCGCACAGTTCACCACGTCCGCACAGTTCACCACGTCCGCACAGTTCACCACGTCCGCACAGTTCACCACGTCCGCACAGTTCACCACGTCCGCACAGTTCACCACGTCCGCACAGTTCACCCCACCCGTACCAGAGAGCGAGGGCAGTGGGCGGCGGGGATGAGGGGAGGAGGTTAGGATGGGACACAGAGAGCATGTGAGCATCAGCAGCACTCTCATCTCAGCATCTGCTGTCAGAGGGAGGGCAAGGGGGACGTGGGACAGTGGACAGACACGCGGGGTGTGGCCGCCCGTAGGCCAATCGCAAGCACGGAGGCTAGAAGAATCGCATCCGGTGCTGTACGCGGGTGGGGGGGGTGTTTGTGCGACCGCACACAAGTGCCATGGGTGAGTGACCAAAGGAGTGATTGTTAAACGAAGGGAGGGGTGTGCCTTGGTTGCACAGAGGGAGGGGAGGCTGAGAAAATGGAACGAGGGGTGGAGGGGAGGAGGGGAAGAGGAGAGGAAGGAAGGGAGAGGAAGAGAAGGAACGGCTGGGTAAGGGCAGGGAGAGCCAACCTTGGTTGAAGCCGGCATGGTAGGAGCGCGGGAAGGTGACGACAAACTCGCGGGCGGCCTGCACGGTGCGGAAGATGGGCACACCCGCTCGCTGCAGCGCCATGGGGTGTAACATGGTTACCAGCTGGAAGAGCAGGTCGGGCTGTGCCTCAAACAGGTCCGGAAAGGCCGCCCACATGACCTGGTGGGCGGGAGGAGGTTGGATGGCGGAAGAAGATTCGGTGGGCGTTAGTGAGAAAGCGTGTGTGGGAGATGATAAAGGAAATGATGGCAGGGATGGTAATTTGGATGGGAATGCTGATGCGGGTGGGTGGCGATGGGATGGTGATGGGGATTGTGAGGATGGCGAGATGGACGGGGGAGAAAGGGATGTGGCAGTCCATGGGCACGTGCCAACTGCCCACACCACAACACATGAATTCACACCGCTACAACCAGTATCACACTAATGGGTCACACGGGTCGTTGTGCACAGCACGGTGGTGCACGGGAACGCACCTGCTCGAAGGCCTCTGCTGCATGCCCCGGCACGCCGTACCACAGCTTCGGCTCGCCCCTGCCGCCCCCACACCCACAGCAGGCCCACACCACCAGCAGGAGAGGCAGCAGACACAAGGCGAGAACGGGGGAAGGGAGGGGAGAGTGGGGAGGAGGGGCACTGGTGAGAAGGGGTGGCTACCAGAAGAGAGTAAACGCAGGAACGAATCGAATGAAGGGAGGGGCAGCCGTACTGCCACACACAGTGGTATGAGCGAGAAGAAGGCACCATGAGGAGAAGGGGAAAGGCGCGCACCAGTGGAGGTAGTTGATGGAGTAGAAGCAGTGGTCTTCGAAGTGCCAGCAGAAGGCGGAGAGCGTCATGCCCATGTACAGCCACGGCACGATCACGCCCGGGATGGCGTCCTCCACATACCGCAGCACCGACGCCGCATCGCGCGCAATATTGTTCACATTCCACCGCGCCTCCGCGTACTCCCGCCACCGCGCCTCACTCACACCGCTCTGCACCGCATGCGCCGGCACCGCCTCGCCTCTCCTGGGGAAACCGCTGCCACACGCGCCGGTGTCGATGTCGCTGCCATAGAGGGTCTCTACGGGGCCTGCCGCCCCGTCCACTACCCGCCAAAACGCCTCCTCTAGCTGCGCTGGCGTCATCGCGCCGCCCAGTTTTGCGCCGAAGAGCCGCTCGCGCAGCGCGCGGTCGGCACGCTGCAGGGCGGCGATGGAGATGCTGCCGCCCGACGTGAAGCCAAAGGTGTCGTGCGGGTGGGCCACGCAGTCCTGGCAGAACCACGTGCCGGGCGGCACAGTGGAGAGCGGTGGAGAGAGGCAGAAGAGGTGCCAGCCGCGGTCGCAGCGGTCACACAGCAACATCTGCTCCTCGTGCCCCCCTCCTTTGCACCTCTCACACACCGCATCTGCTGCCGCGTCTTCACTGTCCGAGTCAGAGCCATCACCGCCCTCTGACTCGCCCCCATCGCCTTCCCCCTCTCCCTCCCCCTCCTCCTCCCCTCCTGACTCGCCGTGCCCGTACCTCACGGCCTTAGCTGCGCGCCAACGGCTGCTGGATCTGCCGCCAGCCTCGCCCGCGCTCAGCCCACCGCCGGTACCATCACTCCTCTTCTGCGCCTTGCTGCTTCTTTCTCCTTCCGCCTCCTTTTCCTGTCGTTTTCGTTTCCCATCGGCGGCAGGCCCAGTCTTCCCGTGCGTCTCGTTGCGCCCATCGTCCCCCTGCGCCCTGCCCGCGCCCGCCTCTCGCCACGCCTCCAGCTCATCCAGCCGCCACCGCCGATACACCGCCTTCAACCCCCCCGCGTCCATACTCGCCCGCTTCCCCGACCCTTCCCCCTCCGCCCCGCCCGTCCCGCCCTGCAGCACCGACCGCAGCACGTCCCCCCACGCCCTGCTCTCACTCACCCGCTCAAACCCCCCCCGCCGCTGCACGGCGTGGAACAGCGCGCAGATGTCCACCGCGCCCGCGCGCATGGCTTCCGCCGCCACCACCGCCCTGTCCTCTGCCAAAACCCCTTTCTTCCCCGTCCCCATCCCCGCGCGCGCAAGTGCGCGCTGCAGCGCGGGGGGGGGCGCAAGGCGGAGATCCTCAAGGAAGCGGAGGTAGTCGAGCGCAAAGGTGGCGGGGTCGGCGGGCGCGGGGCGGCGCTGCAGCTGGTGGAGCGCCTGCACCTTGGTGCGGAAGCGGAACTTGGCGCGGTCCAGCGCGAACGGCGGGTCCCAGCCGGGCGGTGGGACGATGCGACACATGCCGCACGGCTCTGCGATCGGGCGAATGAGTGCGATGAATCGCAAGGGGTCGGCGAACTCCTCGGGCGACGGGTGGAAGACAGGGCACTCGTGCAGGGAGACGGTGGGAACGCGCGAGGGGCCTGACGGCCGACCGAGGAGCGGCGCTGCCTTGGCGGTGCTAGGAGCTGCGTTGCTACTCGTGGGAGCCTTAAAGCTAGTAGTCGATGCTTTGGTGGTAACCGGTGCTTTGGTGCTAGTCGCCTGCCCAGACTGCTTTGGCCCTGCGCCTCCCCCCATCCCTCCTTCCCCCCCCCTTCCCTTACACGGCTGCCTCCCAGCCTTACTCTCTAAGCCCTGTGACGTGCTTCTACCGCTGCTGTCGTTGCTGCGACAATCCCACTTCCTCGCTACGTCGCGACACCTCGTGCGACGAGTGCCCTGGTCGCACGGTGTGTGCCTGCTCGGATCTGTGCCGTCGCTGCCCGTCGATGGCCCTACTGCAGCTACAGCTGTCCTTTCACTGCCTGCTACAGCTGCCCCTTCCCTGCCTCGTACATCTCTCCTTTCACTGCTGACTGGATCTGCCCCTTCACTGCCTGCTACAACTGTTCCTTCCATGCCTGCTTCAGCTATCCCTTCGCTGCCTGCGCCTCGTGTTGCGACTCCTCCTTCTTCGCCCGCATCTGCCGTACCCTCTGTCTCCGTTACACAAACTACTGCTGCTGCTGCTGCTGCGGCGGCGGCGGCGGCGGCGGCGGCTACAGCTGGCAATGCAGCAGAGATCTTCGTGAATTCAACTTGGCTTACTCCCGTCCCTCCGCCGCCATCTGACGATCTGTCCGCTCGGACCGATACTGCTTTAGCCATTATTAAAGAGAGAAGACGATCGAACCTGAATAACGAACGATGCAATTATAGATGAAACCCTAGATGGCCGAGACTATAGGTGCCTGGCTCTATGCCGCTTTGGCTTGGACCTACTATTTCGAGGGAACTCAACAGCTTGGTGGTTTGATCAATTTGCCTTCTTGAACTGTGTGTTTTGCCAGCTCCCCAAATTCGACCTTTCGCGAGCCACTCTGTCGTCTGACGAGGTTCACGATCTCTGTTACCATAAAGTCACGACGGTCGTGAGTCCCGCACGAAGTGTGCGAGCAGTGGTGGTAATCGTAAGAAAACCATTCTTCTCCAAGAGACAGGGAGCGTTCACTCCCTCATCAGAGTCAAGCGTGAATGTGGTCCTCTTGAACTTGGAAATCTGCACCCAAATTTGGAGAGCGTTCTATGTAACAGCCCTTTCATGTTCGTTAGCCGGGGACCTTCAGCACGATTGGTTCTCGCTCCATTCAGGATCATACATTTCTGCGACCTCGCCTCCGCCTCAAAGGCCACAAAATCGGTTACTGTAGTTCGCCAATTGAGCTATTCCTCTCATGTTGTTGGAGGGTGGGTCGTGAAAGTTTCAACAACAGAGAGGACAAATAACCCGAAATAAAAAACTAGGTCTCGTGTGCGATATTATCGTGGGAAACCCAAAAACGTGACACCTGTGAAAGCCACGTGTACCGACGGACATTGCTGAGGTGGACAAGCCTGGGCAAGGGACCACAGTAACCCGAAATGACGAGAACATTCGGAAGCACTGCATATTTGGGCACTCAGCAGAACAAATCAACCTTGCTAGTTAATGGAAACATCTTGCTTCATAACGGGAACGTCACCTTCCATACCGCGTACAGCAACAGCTCATGTGCTCGATGGTTTTCTGTTGACAATTCGAAGGCCCTGTTCCATAGCGAGGGCAACCCCGCTAGAAAATCATTGAGGTGACCTCGTTTGTAGGGCAGGAAACGGTTTGCGACCCCATGCGATAGTACATAAATCCCGCCAGCGGGAACGACCCCCCTGCGACCTCCTTGGTTTCCCGCCTCACTGCTTAAACTTGGAGGAAATTTCAACGGGGTAGTTTGACGACACAGCGCGCAGGAACAGTTACTGCCGCCTAATGATTACAGCCCCTCCCTAGTAAAACACCAGACCATTGTGGGGTCATTGCCAAAGCTACTTTTCAAATAAGTCGCCCCGCTGCCACACCAATGGGCTATTTAGGGATAGTCTAAACGATCGGCTTCCCTATCTTTAACTGCCCAAATGTAGTGTAAATTAAACCTCGTCATGCCAGGCGAATCTCGAAAGCCTTTTTTTTGTGGGGTGGTGAGGCTTTTTTCTGTTGTCAAAAGCCTTTTTTTTTTCGCTGACCCAGGAACATCTTGGGGAACCCAGTTCCCTTCAAAGGGTCGTTGGGGTGGTGGTTTTCGGCCATCTTGGCCGTTGCATTCCGTGAATCGAGCCGGCACCCTATCGGTCGCAATGATTACACTGCCGGAGCAGTCCCACCACTTGTCTTTTGTCGTGACCCTGAACCATTTGGGCGACAGAGCCAAACCAAATGGTTGCGTCGTGGTGGCCCCAGGAGCTATCGAACAGGGCCGAAAAAGGCACCCCGTTGTGCCAGTGATTCGTGATTCGTTTACGATAGTGCATCGCGTTCGTTCCGAACCTTTCCGTCCCTGCGATTCACACGAGCCAAGCACGGCGACAGAGATGTGGATGCAAGCAGTCGCACACATTCTGTTCCGCAACTCACTCGAGCCAAACCCAGAACAAGCTCCTGCGGGATCAAATAATTTATTCGCCGTGATTCGCGGGACCAAGCACATATCGCGTTCCTAGCGTTATTTACGATGGCGGACCGTCTGCCATGCTTGGCTCGCACTCATAACTCGCTCAATATCTCACCATTTCACCACACTGTAGTTTTCATTACAAGCTATTCTTTCCATTGTCTTTCACTTCTCACGGAGTACTTCAACAGTACACACGATGCCCGGTTGAGCCCCCCGACCTCGCCTTACCCTCTGGGCTTATAAGCGATTCTCGCTTCGCTTGAAGATTTCGTCAATTCGCATCGGGCAAAAAGGGCTTATAAAAAACAATTGTAACTCAACGCTGACTGTTTGACTCTAGTCTCGTCAGTCAAACTTCAATCCGTTTCTGTGGCTCTTATTGGTCGACGTGCTTGTAACGTGGGTGCAACGTCACGGCACAAAACCCACGGGTGCAAGGTTTCCATCCGGTGCAAGGCAATTTCGCGTGCAGGAGGTGAGCATCAGGTGTACTGCACTGAACAGTACTTTCGACCCAAAGTGCTTGTTATTGGAAAAGTACACCCTCATTCTCGATAGACTGGCATATGTTATACTGACCGGGACGCTTTGTGTAGCCGCAACGGACCAAAAAAGGTCTTATCACATGCGTTATAGTGACAATTTCACCCAATGTGGTCAGTCAAGTTTTCAAACGTTTTAAAATGGTACTTTTGTTTTCAAAACGGTTGAGACGGTTATTCAGCGTTGAAGGTTTTTTACTGCCCAAGGCTTGCCTCGTCACCTCGTGCGACTTTGCCCGCAACCGAGTTATCTCACCAGCCCGCTGCGTCCAAACACTGTAGCCAGTGCGTCCGCCGGTGAGAGTGCTGAGAACGAGGGTGTACCTTACAACTGGAGCCCGTGACTTGCTCGTGACAACAAGAGATTCTCTACTGCGCCACTATTGCGCCTCTTCCGCCGCCTCTTCCGCGTCTTTTCCGCCGTCACTTCCGCGCCACTTTCACCGCCTCTTCCACACCACTTTCTGTTAGAATCTTAGAATAGAACGAGAATGGTTGCATTGAGCAGCATGAGGAGTACAAGTACCAAACCCTAGAATGTTGTACCCCATATAAGCTACCCCACTACAGCCTACACAGACTATAGTGTATGAGTTTGACACACCCCCATAGGCAAAGTGGGGGAGAACAAGGGGTCACAAGACCAGTCAAGCAAAGCAAAGCAAAGCAAGCTCAGGATGGATCACAACGTCACCACACAGTCTGAGCACAAGTTCAAGGCCACAAGGCCAGTTCACATGCAAGGGTACATATATATAACGCTAAACAAGCAAGGGCAGGTATATATATGTAACAGTACAAGCAAGGTCAAGAAGTAAGCAAGTGAGGCAAGGTAGGCACAAGACCTAACAGAGTACAGAAGCGCTGATGATCACAAGGCGCGAGTGCCTTGGTGAAGATATCAGCAGTGTTGGCCTCAGAGGCCACGTAAGCAAGGCGCAGCTGACCACGCTGCTGCAGCTCACGAGCAAGGAAGTAGCGGAGAGCGATGTGCTTCGTTCTGTGCTCCAGTCTGTGCTCCCGACACAAGGCCAGCATGGCCTTGTTGTCTACGTACAGCACTGGAGGAGAACGAGGCGGCTCTCCCAGGTCAGTCAGCAGGTAGGTGAGCCAGCGTAACTCCTGTGCAGCCATGGCCCCTGCGTAGATCTCAGCCTCACAACTGGAGCCGAGAACAGAAGACGAGCGGGTAGACCGCCACGAAACAGAGCCGGAGCCAAGGCTGAAGGTGTAACCCTGTGACGACCGCTGCGTAGCCTGGTCGTCAGCCCAAGAAGCGTCTGCGTGACCAGTGAGGACCACTGAACTCTGCCCTCCAAGCACAAGCCCCATGCCCGACGTACTGCACAAGTAGCGCAACACCCTCTTCGCTGCAGCCATGTGCTCTGGTCTGTGTCTCCCAGGAGCAACAAAGCGTGCCAGAATGCTAAGAGGGTATGCAAGGTCAGGTCGAGTGCAGGTCATCAGGTACATGAGGCAGCCGACAAGCTTTGGTTACGGGCCACTCGACTCTACGGACTCATCCGAAGGCAGAGCTGAGAGCGAGTGGCGTGTAGGCAGAGGAGTGGCCTGAGGCGAGGAGTACGTGAAGCCGAAGCGCTGAAGGACCTGCTGCACCATGTGTGACTGAGTCAGGGTAATGGTGCGCTGTGCTCTGTCCCGGGTGATCTGCAAGCCAAGGTAGCTGCGCAGTTCACCCAGGTATGTGCACGTGTGTCTCTTCTGCAGCTCGGACTTCACGTAGGCAAGTCCAGCAGTGTCAGCTGTAGCAAAGACCAAGTCGTCGACG